GAAATCATAAAAGCCAAAACAAAACAAAAACTGTCTAATACAGGTGAATGTCAATGCCCAACAAGAAAAAGGCAGCGAAGCTGCAGCTCATCTGGGTGACTTCAGCATAACAGAACTGCATACATACAAGGAGTTTAAAATGAGGGAAGAATCTGAATGTGAACAAAACTGAAAATCAAACAGTATACTGACTAAAAGGGAGGATGGAAAATGCAAGTAGCTAGCTGGTAGCAAACATTAGCTATAGCAGATGTGATTGCCGTTAGCTCTAAATGCATGTTAAATTAAAGCCAGCATCTGTTCTCAGAGGGATGGCCTCAGTCATCTGAAAAGAAAGGTTCGTTTGGAAGCCAAAACTTTAGAAAAGAATTAAAGGCAGGGTTTGGGAGAGGTAGAGAAACCTGATGTCTGATAACCACAGGCAAATATTCACAGTCCTGGATGGTCACTCTGCAGCTCTGAATGAGCGGTGTTACCTTTCACAGGAGCTGGTGAACATACATCCTGCATGTAAAAGTCAACAAAACCTTTTAAGGATGTGAATGTAAGATTCAATGATTTGACTTCTTTCTAGACCATCAAAAGCTGAGCAAGCAGTAAAGTAGATGCTGGTGACAAATGCTGGGAAAAGGAAAGCAAAGTCCCAAAGATTTCCAAATAATGACTAGCGTTTAACTCTGAGTAGCACTTACACAAAGAGAAACAAAATGATTACCATAGCAGGCATCATAAAATACTGGGACCTAGAAAAATGGAAGTAGTAAGAATGAGTAACTCAGTCAAAAAATTCAATCGCACAGTTACCAAGGCTGGATGTAATTTCAGAAAACTGAGGAGAAGGACTTCCAAAATGATGAAGGGATTACAAATTGTAAAATAGGTGGTAGGAATTATCATCAGAGAAATCACAAACAGAAAAGAAACTGTCATCTAATCAGAGTATTAAGAGCTGAGGAATAAAAAACGAAGTGGAGGAAATGTGCCTGGCTGGGACTTCTTAAAATTGTTCCTAGCCACTGACTGAGTAGTAAGACTGATCAGAACTACCGAACAGCAGGAAAATGTTACAGTAGAAGAGGTAAAGTGACCCAAACTGTCAGTATTTGGTATCCTGCTCTTCCCATCGCACCATCAGTTATATAGTACTGGCTATCTAAATTTATTTTAATGAATAGTATGCTGAAATAACCGTTTAAAAGACGGTCATAGCAAACTTGTTTTAGGGTCATAAATTCTGAAAAGAATGTGTATATCTAAGAGTTTATTTCTTGCTTTGGGTCTTGTGGTGAAACATTAAGTTCAATTTTATTTGAGCTGATTTAACCACCCTTATCCTTACCACCAAAAGCAACAAAACTATGCTTTTGAACACCCATCTACCTTATTTCTACAATATCTTACAGATTTAAAGCAAAGATCAGTTGCTCAAGTAACAAGTCAAAAGTAAGAAGCTAGATGGCTTTGTTTAGTGAGGATCTATAATAAACTTAGGTAATCACTTCTCACATTTTAATTTCACTGTAGTAAAGTTTAAAGTGTAACTAACAACAATGTAAATCTTGAATTTGAAGTAACTATAGTTTACTGCTCAATAGTGTGGAGCAAGGAAGTTTTTAGAGTTAATGAGTCAATGAGATCAAAACAAAAACTACAGCAAATTCAGTCAAAATACGATTATATATGAAATCTCCGAGGGCTATGGGAAATTAGGAAATAGGAAGCTTTTAGTAAATATTTTGGCTTTGTGACACTTTCCATTGTGCCTAGCCATTGGCTCTGTCAAGCATGTAACAAATCTGTAACCGAGCCCCCGTGTTCATGAGGATTGCTCAACCTTCAGTAACACTTGAAAGCTCTTACAAGCAGATGGCTGGGGGACTGTAAGAAACCGTTTTGGTTTTACGTCAGTCTCCCAGTGGATAAGGGCCCACACTGTAATGAGTACTAATTAATAATCTTTCCAGGAACTCTGACAAAGAACCATGGATTGAATGCATGTGGAAAAATTAGCTATTCTTGCTCAAAAAACTGAGTTTTCAAATCAGGGTTTTCACGTGTAGTGGGACAAGATTCGATTCTTCATCGATCTTCTTTTCCTAGTCTGTGAAGCAGTCCTTAGGCAACAGTTTTAGCTGAGATCTTTCTAGGAAAGTAGTTTTCCAATGCATTGGCTTTCTTAGGACTGAATCAGAAAAGTAGTGCAGAGCTACCAGAGAGAGTACTGACACTTCTGCTACTTCACTTGGACACCCCAGCTCTACCACTGTGGTTCTACTTCTTGGGATGCTTATGGGGTATCAAAAACAGGCATGTATTCTGAAGTATCTATGCTACTTTTGGGAAGGCTGTGCAAGAACTGTGGGGGATATGCTACTATTATGTGCTTCTCCCAGCATATTGCCATGTCCCCTGCACAAACATAATCCATACAATTTAGCCCTTACAATTTAGAAATGATGTCTTTATGAAAAATCAGTGTAATACTTCCATTAAAGTTGAGAAATCTCTTATTAAACCTCTGACGTTAACAACTTGATCACAGGGGTACAGGATGCAAGTTATAATGACAAAATAGGCTAGCTAGTACAATGTAGTTGAGTGTAGAATATTACAGGATTTGTACAAAAGGGGATTTATTGCTGCTTTTTTTTTTTTCATATTTTATACTGGTAGTAAATATCTCTGTTTTGCTCTGTTGGGTTGACATATAGAATCTTCTTGTCATTAGCAGGTACTTCTTGCCAATATATTGGTTTATGAGTTTTCAATAATAAATCAGTGACACGAAGTTGTTTCCCATTTTTGTTGACTGGGAGTTGCTGTTTGAATATTAAGTAAAATTTCATTTACTCTCACAACAACATAGATATTATCTGAAAAGATTATTATCCCAGAAGGTAGAAATTATCTGTTAACGTCTCCATGCAATAGTAACTACCTTGAGTCCATATTTGAAAAGACAAAACCGAACTAAAACATGTAAGCATGATGCTGACGTTCTGTTCTTGTGTAATGTTTCCTATTGTCTTCCTAGTATGCATTTTCTGTCATTTTCATCATTCTCCTGATAAAATTATAAATGCTATTACACAATAAACATTGTGTAATATGTTATCCCAAATAAAATTAGCTGAGATTAGTTTCATTATTTAAACAAAAGAAATATTGTTCCTACCATATTTGCTTCTGGAAATTGAAAAGTGAAGATGGGATAGGGGATAGAAAAAGGACTGGGAATTTGCCCTTGAGTTTCAACTCATTTGGGGTTGAAAATAAACTTTATTTTTAAAATAAACTTTTCTTAAGTAATGATCTTCAAATCGTGGAGACTTAGTGTTAGCAACTCATTATAATAGCCACACAGTAAAAATGTTTGGGCAGCGTTGTGTTTTAATGACAGTTTTGCCCATGAGAACTGCAAGATCTTATTCCATCAATAAAATCAGAATTACTGCCATGTATAAATGACAGTCTGAATCCATGTGTATCAAAGAAGTCCCTGGCATTAGAAGAAAAGAAAAAAACGTATTTTGGTCTGGAATTGGAGCTGATGAAACAGAGGCACCCTAAATAACATTTAAGAATTGCTCTGGCCAGAGATTCCTTTGATATATGGGTAATTTCAGCTGCTTACCTTTAGATTAAAAATATTAGTATTGGTGTTCTCAGAAGTCAACACCAGATACTTGAATAATCCTCACAGATGTTAGTACTTTAAATAGGAAAGGTACTGTCATTCCTACAAAATAAACACATAGTAGGATGGAAATAAAAAAATCCCTCAAAGAGGTTAAAGTGTAAACACAGGCTCTTGCAGTAAGTACATGGAGAACTACAGTGAGAAATGAAAAAGTTGGGGAAAGAAGTCAGATTGTAAATTATAAGGAAAATGGGAGTTGGTAAGCCTGTCATTTAACTCTGAGGATAAACGTCCTAAATAATGAGATAGTTACGAATGTAAAGCCGGCAAAGGAGACGAAGTACTCAAAGATTGAGTGGAAAGGCCGGTGGGGCAGGGGGGGATGAAAAGAGACACCTAAAAACTAAGGCAGGAATTTTGAGCTCTCTTCAGATTCAAGTCAAAGAATGTCTCTGAAATTTGTAACAGGGATATGGACTCTAAAAAACCTCAGTAGTTAAACAAAAGACAGTAAGTTCATTGATCAAACTGGAAGTCATAAAAACCAAACCAGAAATCAAAAGCGAACATCAGAGGCTAGTTCAACCATCGTAACAGAAGAGGGGATGTGGCAGGTAGTAGTTCAACCAAGGGAACAGAAAAGGGGATGTGGCAAATTCTTCATTATCTCTAATCCTTAAATCATGATTTAATATGCTCATTTGTTCCAAGTTTCTGGACTGTGGGTGCTGACCCCCTGCTTTCCCTAGTGTCAGAGAATGCAATCAGGGAGTTGCGAAGCGTTGAAAATTTACTGCACACTTCCCTACTCTTTGCACACCCTTAGTCTTCAAGGTTAAGTAACTTCCATCAACCTCTCAAAGCTCTCCCAGATTATATAGATTTACTGTCACCAATAATTCTTAAATTATTTTATAATAATTTGTGAAAATCTGACTTAAATGAGAAACTTCAACCTAAGAAACTCTGAAAGGGCTCATCTAGCTCCGGTCACTGTATTTAGTGACAGAATAGTGAAACAAATACATCATGATACAGATTAGCTGATGAAAGTCTGTGCTGTTACTGGCTGTGACTGTGTGTTTTAAGTAACTATTTGTAATGAAAATGAAGCATGGAACTATTTTCATGAGGGATAAAACCAATGTTAAGAACGTATTTTGTACTTGGCTGTTTCTGTAGTATGTTATTACTTCTACCTTCTTACTTCTACCCTGGACAAGTTTTGTGGGTACTGACTGCATTTGCTACTTCTGTCTTCATTTCTGCTTCTTGTGCTGTTTGGATTACTTTTGTATTCAGATACCGACACTGAAGTCATGCTGTAGGTACCACTTAAGAACCATTTGTTAGAGATTCAAATAGTACTTTATTTTAAAAACCTCTTCAGTAAATTCACCGATGTATTAAATGTGCATGATGAAGTCTTAATTTAACTTGTATATATTGCAGCTAAATGTAACAGGCCTTATAAAGTTTAAATAGCGTATGTTAATCCAGACAGCAAAAACTTGTAATTACATTGTGTATCCCGGAAGTTTGTTTATTACAAGTTCACTGATGTCTTTGTATTGATTAGGAACACTTAGTTTTCCCAGAAAATCATCCTCTTTGTCTGACATACTGTTTTCTAGGACACTAAGTTCAAGATCAGACATGTTAGATGGCAAGTAAGAGCTAACTTGAGTTACTGACTGGCTTTTTCCTGCAGAGGTCTGCCCCTTTCCTATATTCAGATCAGCATCAGAGATAACTTGTTTGCTTCTCAGTGTAGATACTTGTTTAACATGCTGATCGCCCCTGTTCTCTTCCTTGTTGATCTGTTGGGCTTCCTGCTCTTCATCCAATAACCTTGCCCGAATGGAGGCATCATTAAGTGAATCAACAGATTCACCACTAGTTCTCTTGCTAGTTTTTAAGTCACAGTTTCTCTTCAAAGACTGGACTGGAGATGAAACTGAAGGAACTGGCAGAAGATCTGAAGTACTTTCAGCCCTTTGACTTGTCTTTGAAATTCCAGACCTGCCGGATTCTGACTCTCTATCTGACCAACCTTGCTTTGGCCTTTCAAGCCACAGAGGTTCAGGACTGCTGTCAAGAGCTTCCGAGTCTCCGCCCGTACACTCAGCACTGGTGAAATCTTCTGAATAAACTGTGTTCTCAGGACTAGCAACAAAGTCATCTGAGTATATGAATTCAGAGCTGTTTTCAACACTCCTGCTGGGGCTTGGTTTATGATCAGATGCATCATCATGCTCCGTGGTTTTACAGTGGATTAAGTGTATTGCTTCCTCATTACTTCCCTTTGCATTAGCATCTGATGGGAAAGCTGCTGGGAGTTGGGCTTTCGCATACGTTTCCTTGTGAGCAGATTTTAATACAGTTTCCTCCAGCAAGGGGGCTGTAGTTAATTTGCATGGACGTTCCTTGCTTGCAGTTTCATCATTCTTCAATAGACTTGCAATAGCCTGTTTCTGCAGGTCAGGGGACACATCTCCAGTCACGGAAACGTACTCTGTGAGAGCACTGTTTTGTAATGAGGTCTCAACAGTTTTATCAAACTGATTATTCTGCTTTGAACCGTCCCCCTTGCTACAATGCCTGTAAGAAACCACATCCTGTTCTCCAGCATTTCTGTGCAGCTTTCTTTTGGATAAAGGGTTTCTCTCCTTCAGCATCTCCATTTGCTTTTTTCTGTACTGCTCTCTCCTTTCATGAATTATCAGCTTATCAGGATTGGTCTGCTGCAGCCGTAGCCTCAGTGTATTTGTCAGCCCGTACAACAGTTTCCTTCTGGGAGGTCTGTTTTCCTTAGTTTTGCAGTTCCTTTCAGAGCCTCTCTCCCCCTGGGGTACAGCTTTCTTAGGTCCTCTCCTAGCCCGAGAAGACCCTGGTGAGGTGGCCTCGTGCAAGCCTTGCTTGACTCGAGGGCTGGCAGCTCCACTGCTCCCACCTGGCCCCACCGGTGCCTCCGCCAGCATTTCTGTGCAGCTTTCTTTTGGATAAAGGGTTTCTCTCCTTCAGCATCTCCATTTGCTTTTTTCTGTACTGCTCTCTCCTTTCATGAATTATCAGCTTATCAGGATTGGTCTGCTGCAGCCGTAGCCTCAGTGTATTTGTCAGCCCGTACAACAGTTTCCTTCTGGGAGGTCTGTTTTCCTTAGTTTTGCAAGCAATTCCTTTCAGAGCCTCCCCCTGGGGTACAGCTTTCTTAGGTCCTCTCCTAGCCCGAGAAGACCCTGGTGAGGTGGCCTCGTGCAAGCCTTGCTTGACTCGAGGGCTGGCAGCTCCACTGCTCCCACCTGGCCCCACCGGTGCCTCCGCAGGCTTGAGGGCAGAGGAGCGGCTGGGGCTGGGGGGCCGTGAGGCCATGCCACTACCCCCAGGGGCCTTGTAGAGCCAGGCCAGATGGGGGTGGACAGCCGCAGGCACAGCGCTGCGGGTGAGCACCGACAGCTCTGCCAGCAAGGCACTGAGTAGCGGAAGCTGCCCCAGGGTGTTGTGGAGCTGTTGAGGGCTGGTGGGGTGCAGTAATGAGGGCCCAGCACTGGGACGTGGGGGGCTCTGGCCTTTGTCTTGCTCCTGCGGTCTCCAGGCCTCGACATACTCCCATTTCCCCGCGGCTGCTGCTGCTGGTGGCAGATGGGGGTCAGCACCCTCACGGCTGTAATACAACACGGGAGGGCAAAAGATGTTGCCCTCCAGCTCCTCACCCTCCTCCTCCTCCTTGCGCCCCGGCTCAGGGGAGGTGGC